GATATCCGCTGGCCAACAGTTTCAGCTGGAAGGGTTTCCGCCTTAAATTAAAATAAAGTTGAAATAAATTAATAAAAAACGATATAATATAATTTATAATATTTGGAAGGTATAAAATGTTTTGATCCAATCATAAATGCACAAAGGTGTGCTCAATGAATAGCCAATAGGATAGTACTTTATTACCAGAATCAAAATCATCCACTCACCGAAATTGTTTATTCGACCTTTCTACAACTTTCAGCACAATACATTATATCTCAAGATTAAGGATTTATTTATCTCTGCATGTGATTTTATCTTTTTGAGATTTGATGATCAAATGAAATATATTACATCTGATCATCATCCAATTAATACAAACAAAATGAAATCTTTGAATAGATTTATTGAATCCGATAGGAGGGGAAAAAAAGTGAGATAGTCTGGCAACCATGCAAAGGTGTAAAACACAGATGAAATAAATTTGCCGGAGATTAAACACCGGTAGTACAAATCAGTACAAATGCTAACAACTTTGATAATACTTTAGAATGCAAATATATTTGAACATCTGCAATGCAAACAATCGGAGGGAGTATTTTATCAAATAACGCAATACTGTACAAACTCAAATCCGAGGTGACTGACCGTGTTTGTAGTACAGTACTCTTAAATTGTAAAAATACTGCAGATTTTAAGATGCAAGTTCAGAAATATTAATCAATAGGAATTCATTTCAGAAATGGCAAAAGTCATGTTAAATTTTAAGATATTAATAACTTTGTAAACTCTTTATTGATTATAATATGTTATATATATATATATGTATATATATGTATGTATATATGTACATAAACGTAAGTTTTCCTTTACTCAAAATTCTAAATCATCCAAAAAAAACATTTTTTTTAATGCTCTTTGTTCACTAATGTACACCCATTAACCTAAATAAAAATGTATCATTAAAAAGCTATGTCAGTATTATATTGGACATCAAAATGTTTTATAAGATGATTAAAAGCATAGCAACTACCAACAGACAAAAACATTTTTAAAAATCCCAACAAGCAGGTATTGTATATAGTGAGTGCTGTACAAATAGCATGTTTACTGCAGTAGGTAGTACACATCATAACATGGCCTACAGTAGATTGAAAAAGGGGATAGTAAAGGCACAGTACCTTATTAACCTTGAAAAGTGTTGAAATCAGGCAAAACAAACCAATTATAAATAGCTTAATTGTACAAGAGTGGTTGCTAATCGAAAACACAAAGAAAGGAGGGTCAATTTAGCTTGCTAATTTAACATTACCACAAAAAAAATCTGGTTAATCTCGTATAATTATGAACCTTGGCATAATCTAGGCCTAGCACATAACATCAAGGCTTTTAAATCAAGGCTACAATATGAATCTTGTAGTTTAACATAACAAATTATTTTTGTAATAAAAGATAGAAAGGAAATTATAAGTAAAACCTGTTATAGCTAAAACAATTCTCTCAGAGAGCAATATTTTGCAATCTTGTAATTTTGTAATCATTGTACTGTTTACTTTTCTTTTCATTTTCGGTTGTATTTGTAGGATAACATATTTTCCTTTGTATACAATGACCTAAATGTACGTACTAGCCACATATTATCGGAATTGAAAGTGCACTGTATGGTATGTAATCTAAGGATCTAGTACTTTACAAAGCTAGATTCAATTCTATGAAAATCATAGGCTATTGTACAATAAGTGCCTACATCAGGAAAGATTAAATTAAAAATATATATTGACAAAAGAGACATGGGTAAACTCAATTAAAATTTACATTTAAAACAAACATCAAAACCGGCCTCAGACAAAAAAAATGGCCCCCAATGTCAAAATGTAGTAATTTTTATTCCCAATTATTTAATTTCTGCAAAAAAACAGCAATATTAAAATGCATCATGCTTTTCTTACGAATTACATCTTGTTTGTGAAAATAATTATTTTATAGTTAATAGGTGTAGAGTTCATTATACTAAAATATTACTTTTTTTTTTATTCCCAAATTATTTACTTTCTGCAAAAAAAAAAAAGAAGAAAAACTTAAAAATCAATAATCTTTGTTTTTAATGAATTACATCTTGTTTATATGGGAATAATCATTTTATTTATACACAGCATTAGGTACACAGGTATTAAAATGTTACTTTGTTCATTTGGTAACTAAATAAAGTAAAAATATAAATACTTTATTTACATGAAGCTTGACTTGTTTGTTTGATATAATACTGTTATTTTAAAAGTAAAATTGTAACAGGTTATTTTTTTTTCAATTTTGAACATACACCCACTTTGAAATTTTCATAATCTAAATTTATCTAATACAGTAAATTAAAATGTAACTAAAAGATATGTAGTTAACATTTTGTTAATTCTTATCACAAAAATTCCTGCAAAAAGTAATTTAAGTTTATTTGACAGTCATAATTTTAAAAAAAAATAAATATTTCATTTAAAAAATTATACTATCTAAACTTTATCATTGGGGGTCATTTTTACCTATCGGTAGCACTTTTATAGGGCCATTTTTCTCACATCAACATCTAGAAAGAAACCCAAATACAGTTGTTTAGAATGAGAAATAAATGAAGATAACCATAGAGATGAATTTATAGACATGAAGGAGAGGCAAGTCCTATAGCTTAGGAGGATTGGTAACCATGATTTAACGTTCACCATTTGACACCGCGACCGCAAGTCTTGCTGAAATAGACATTAGAGAGGCAAAAGTCCGAGCGCATAATTATATGGGGGGGGGGAGGGGTTAGACATCTAGTATCAAGGGGCAAAGTCTTGATTGATTCTTGTAGACTGTATACCCTACGTACTGTATATGTACTGTAATACTTCATAAACAGACGAGTGTTTAGGTCTAATAAATGTTGCCCAAGCGTGATGATAATTGGAAATTTCGGTCTGTGAGGAAATCTTTTAAATTTATTTTTTTTAACTCAAAGCTACGTAACAAATCAAAGTATTACAGCTTGAATTGGCAGCAGCTAAATAAAGGAGAAATGAATGTACTCATTATTAAACAGTTCTTTGAGAAAACAAAGAATTTGCCCATCAAGATTCGAACCTAATACTCTCTGATTACAGTACAGTAATTCTAATATTCAATTCCATAAAAACAAATTCCTTTGATACCATCAAAGTTTGGTTTTTAGTTTGGGAATATAATACTATTGTTTACCTATTTTTATATTATTAATGGTCTAAAGTACAGTGGAATTACTACTCTCAGTCCCTCAATAAACAATTTCATAAACAGGCAATCTCTCACATAATAATCTGTAATATTACTAGCAAATGACATCTACAGTATATGTAAAATTATAGCGCTTTAAAGAAACCATCAATTATATGGTCTTACAAATATGGTCTGATGATATGGAATGCTATCCACAAGGAATAAAGCGACTATCCACAGGGAATAAAGTGATTAACGACACCTTGTTACGCCTAGCTTCTGGTGGAATTCAACATTATCAGTATGGTTGCTACCATACCTAAAGATCAATAATTAATCCATTGATCCTTGCAATTTAATAATGTCAGAGTGGGTGTCATCTTAATATCAAACTCCAAAGTCAATGCTATATGTTTGACTATTTTATAATGCCATGGTTGGACTTTGTTATTGTAGGTGCAAACGCCATAACTACTGTATCAGTAGGCCTATAGTATAAGCCTAATAAAAAAAAAAAAAATAATGATTCAATCATATTAGTTACTGTAGGTGTGGCCCTTGAATTCACCCATGGGCTCATTCAGAGCCCATGTTGTATACTGAGTCCACAGTGGTTCAGTATTAAAAAAGCAAATTAATAAATAAAAAAAATCATCTAAGCACACAGTATACAGTTATAGAGTAGTATCTGGATCATTAACAGTTAATTTTAAATGAACAATAAGCGAGTCAGACAGAAGACAGATGTAATTCTTAAATTATTCGAGTTCATTAGCCTTTGTTAGATGTGGTTTTGTGTACTGTACTCTTTAGAGGCCTTTATCGGATTAACACAAATTGAGCTTAATGTGATAATCCACTCATTTAGTTTAATCCTCTTTGCGTGAACACTGACATGCTTCATAGCAAATAGCTCGATTGATTCAACTACAATGAACGTTGTTTGTAGTCAACAGCACTCATTTACTTCAATTACTGTAGGCACTGTACTGCTCTAAGTATACACTATCATTTGTCTGTCAAAACTAAACAGTGTTTAATCAGACTTTGATAGTGTACAGTTGGCGTTCACTTGTTTCAGCTTAGCAGGGGGTCCCAAGTTTAAACACGTCACATTCGGGCCCACCATCATCTTCTTGAAATCTGGATCAGGGATTTTCTTGTATGAATGCAATGGGTGAGCGTGATATTTATCTGTATCCTGCTAACCTTTAGCTGGTGTGTGTGAATATATTCACACACACCAGCTAAAGGTTAGTAGGATACAGATAAATTCACACACACCTGCTCCTGATCCAGATAATACTAAGGCTCTAGTGTGAACCTTAACGATGAGATTTTTTAACACATCTATTTCATATTTCTGTGCATGATACCCCTCATCACCGATTTCCATGAGACAATTGATGAATAAAGTATTAAAAATGTGCAAAAATATTATGAATTTTAGGAAAACTGATGGGTAATTTTTCGGGAAATTCATGCATGCTTGCCGGAGTGCCGTTATCCGGGTGACTTTAGCGACTTGCGGAAGACTTATGACCCTTAGATTAGAAAAATCATTTGTCACTGAATGTCTGTTGTCTGTCTGAACACTGTACAGTACTTTTTCAAAGTCTGATCAAACAATATCTGGTTTGACAAACTTGGTCCTACAGACATTTTAGGAACATAAAGAGGTGGACAGTTTATGTGTGAAATGGAAATAAATGTTATGGTGATTTTATTTAACAAAACAAAATATCCATCTTTAAATGAAATTTTGCGAAAGATATTATTAATAACAGACTCACATGAAGTTGAAATTCCAATGTCCTATCATCAAGCGTGATGACTTTAATCCGTCGAACATCAGCCATCTAAAAAGAATAAAGGAAATTCAAATACATCAAATTCAACATTTATCATAATAAAATTAAAAATAATTCATTATGTAACAAAATAATAAATATATTTGATACGATTACGCAAATTAGTTCATTACTATAAAAATAATATAACACTTAAATCCAGACACTGTCATCATTGACAAAAGTTAATTATTTAATTTATTTAAGTCATATTTAATATGCACAATTCCATTAAGATTAACTGATCACTTTTTTTACTGTAAAGAATAAGGATATCATAAATTATATTGCAGCATTTTTTGTAATCACAGTCAATGTTTTCTCATTCCTGAACATGACCCAATAAAGGTCAAACCTTTAAACCATGGCCTCATTCCCATTGAATGGAGTAACATTCCTTCTACGTATATGTTTGTGTAGGCCTACTACAGTATATTCTGCATTTCCTTGCTAACAAAGTATTGGTAAAAGTACATGGCACTAACAGCATATGAAAACAAGTATTGGACTCGATACAAAGAAGTAACAATCATAGCCATTATTTATTTGAAAAAGTAAATGTCAGTGTAAGTCTTTGGAATTTTTAATCAAGATGTTGTGAGATCAAGATTGACGCTGGCCACTTTGGTTGTATCCTACAGTGTGGGCAAAAAAAAAACTAAAACATATTGGTCTGTGAGGTAACCTTCTCCACTGACCTCTCAACAGAAAGGCATTATAAAATCAACACAACATAAAATAAACTTGAAGATTTCAACAAGTTGGTTGGATAAAAATATGGCCATGGATCCTAAAGTACAGTGCAAAAAAAAAACATACTGTAACTGTATTTATTTGACACTCCACATTGAATAAATCCTCACCCAACCACCCCCCCAAATGACTGTAAAATGGAAGCAACACCATTCTCAACACAATCTATGAATGTTTTACTCCAGTAGAATTACATATTTCCTAACAGGATTGGGAATGTCTTTATGAAAAAATACTAATAACAAATATTTATATATAGCGCAAATTCAAAAATTTATCACAGGCGCTAAGGTGTTAGGTGTTACTTTGTGGGTATTTATCATGCAATAACATATTTTGACTGTAATTATGTATTGTACAGTACAGTAGTTCCACATTTACACATCAAGGACATTTATTTGAGTATACCTATTTTACAAAAAAAACAGTTGAATAAACGCCTCCCTCGATTGAACGCCCCTCAACATCTATTCTCAAAAATATAGCCCCTGAATAAACACGATATGATGGGATGTGCCTTTCATGTTGCAATTTGTCAACAGTACATATTCCTTGATTCCTTAAACCCTTGATTCATCTTTGTAGGCCTATACGGTTGGCTATGTTACAATAACAATTTAACTAAGTGGCTTTACGACTTCTCAACCTTTGCCATAAATAGACTTGATTAACGACATTTTTACAACTGTACAAAGCTAATGTCTACTATAAATAAATATTTATGCTTTAGGAGTACAGACTGTTTTTATTGATCATATTTTTACTACATACAGAAGGAAATCATTGCAAGGAATGTGGCTCCTCTTACTGAAAGTGAGAGCAGTTTAATAATTGTTGTTATTAAAAGCTGTTTCTTAATTTCAGGCTGTGGTCTGGTTCTAGATAATATGGATTATAGTAAAGTCAGATCCTCTTTAAAATTCTAGATTTGAAGAAGGTCAGTGTCATTTCCTTCTCTGCCAAAATGGAAAAATGAATGCCTGTCCTGATTATAAACTTTCATTTGAAACAAGCTCACCGGTCTTGGAATATGGTACAGGTGCAAGTTATTATATTGGGTTTTTTGGAAGAGCTAATAAAGATTGAAATTTTTTAATAATTAGGATGTTTCTTGTACAAAAAAATTATTATTTTTAATGTTTATTTGTACAAAATTAAAATTTTAACAAAACATACATTAACCATACTTTTAGCAAACAGTACAGTACATAGCAGTATGTATAGCAAAAACTGTACACAATAATCAGGAAATGTAAGGTAAACCCTAGGAAATAGATGTACACTCTTGGTCAATACATTAGCAAACAGTACAGTTCACTCACGTAAAGATACGGTACATTAGCAAATACTGTAAAAAAAATTGCACTTTCTAGAACATTAACACTTAGTTCAACAAAAGGTATACTGTACTCCAGTATACAGTTATTGTATACTTCAGTAATAGTTACTTTAATAGTATACTCTAGTAAATAGAGCAAACAGTACACTATCCTCATACATAAGGTTATGGTACATTTAGCATATACTGTAGAAACTACTTTATAGAACATTACTGTACTAAAATAGTACAACAAACTGTACTTCAGTATAAAGTTACTGTAATATATTAAGTAACAGTTACTATGGTACATTGATGGTACAATACAATATGCTGTACTTTAGCAAACAGTATATAGTTAGGTATACTGTACTCCAACAAATAATGCACAATAATACTATGTACAGTATGTTAATATACTGTAAGTAGGCCTACAGGTAGTTTAGCAAACAGTATACAGTTAGTACTGTATATTGTACTGTACAGTAGGCCTACAGTACTCCAGCAAACAGTATACATACTACAACATGTACAATATACTGTACTTTAGCAAATAGCACAGCTAATATAGTACTGTATACTGTACTCCAACAAACAGTACATAATACTATAAACTTTAGCAAACAGTATACAGTATGTACAATACAGTATACTGTAACTTTAGCAAATAGTTTAGTTAACACCACAGTATCTCAGCAATACAGTATACTTTAGACTCTAGCAATACAGTCAGCCTAGCAATGGTAATAGTGGAGTGGGCCTACAACAATACAAACCTCGGAAGCAAGTTTGGATAAGTATGCATTTATGTGCTGTCTCTGCCCCTCAGAAAAACTGTGATGTCGACGTATTCCTGCTCTGTGCTCTAAAATAGGTGGAAGATCAAAGCTTTCAAGATCTCTTGGATACATTTTTGCCTAAAATTAAGGCAAAGGAAAGACAAAAACTACATCTCATATATACTCAGCAGCTCAATTAAAAATGAACGGATTTGACGACCAGCTCCCACTTGCAGCTGCAGATTAGCACTGCAACAATGTCAAATTTCCGCAATCACAAAAACACAGTACAATTGAAAACGTCGTCTGTTAATTCCCTTTATAAAGGTAACAATGAACTTGTAAACAAAATGTTATGGTTGCCAACCTCTCGGAAACTAGAGATATCGGGTTAAATGTTCCATTCGAAAACCCATGAGAAGCTAATTCACTGATGATAATAACTCACTTTTGCTGAGCAAATTCGTTCATGCATTATAGTTGATTGTGCGATTTCAAATTTTTAGATGACAATCATTTTCAAGTTTCTTTTATCTCTGTCTCTATACTGTAGGTTTACTTAAGATTCCAATATGATGGCTATTCAGTGGTGTATACAGAAGGAGCCTTAAAATGGGGGAAGGAGGAGCTGATAGGAAAGAAGGTAAAGTGGAAGTGGGCACAATGATTAAGTGCAAAATAAGGTGATTTTTGCTTCAAACATTTTCAATGGGGTGGGGAGGCAACTGGGGTGGGGAGGCAACTGGGATGGGGAGGCAACTGGGAGGGGGAGCCAACTGGGAGGGAAAATGCATCCCCGCGAACTCCCTAGATAGACTACTGTGGGTACCAACTCTTTGTTGGTGAAACTTGTGCCATAATTTATATGTTGCGCTTCAAAGGCAAAAAACAGGTGAAGGAAATTGGCAAAATTAATATTAAATTTTAGATGTTTATTCAACCTGAAATTGTTTGAAGGAAATGACATTTATCTTACCAACCACAACAAATTATATACAGAGGAAATTGTAGAGTATCATAATTCTAAACCACACAAATACACCACCATTTACAGTAGAGTAGGCTTCTTTTACATTAAAACTTTTTCATTTTTAAATGCAAGTCATTGCAATTTATTGTTGTTAAAAATTCTGTTTCTTGTAAACACTAAATTTGATGAAGCTATTTTGAGGGCTTTCTTTGGATGCACCATCAATGTGATGTGTGCCACTGTCAGAAAAGTGATTTCAAATAAAAACTTAACTAAACAAAATGTTTTCAGTCCATAACAGAAAAAAAATTCATGATCAAATGTATTATAAATCAATCCTGTAACACACTCAAAAAGCGTCCTGTCACAAAGATGCACTGTCTGTTTTTTTTGTTTTTTTTATTATTTCAAAATTAATAAAGTTTTTTCTTTCTTTCTTTATTTATACTTTCATTCAATAACAACCATCAAGTATAAAACAATTACAACTCATGGCCAATGATCAAATTACGTGTAATTTTACAAGCAAAAACGAAAAAAAAAACGAAAAACAAAAAAACAAAAGTGAGAAAAATCACGGGGGTTTATGCATTGAGTACATGGATAAAATATAAAGTATGGTATGGGACTGTTGGCGTTGGTGTTGTTCAGTTTTGAGTAGCTCACTTAAATGATTCAAATAAATTATCAACTTCCAACCAGAAACAGATAAACAAAAATAGTTTTCTCTGATTTACAAAAATTTTACTACAAAAATCCTTAAATTGAATACCACTGCCAGCCAATAAGTGTCTACTGTATGCAAAAGCAATACCAAGAACGTATTATTTAAATGTCCATTAAATTGACAGGACAACTTTTTCTCTTCCAAATTTTTATTTACTCACATAAATACCAAGTAGAATCCCTATTAAGGAGACACCTTTTGGACTAAAAAAAGTGTCCACTTAACACAGTGGCATATCTAGAAATCTTGAAATGGGGATGCTGATTTGGGGGGGGGGGGCAAAAGTGAAGGGGATCGATGATCTGTTCAGGGGCGCTAACTCGCAAAATAAGGTGATATTAGGTTATTTTAGGGGGTTTCCCCTGAAAAGTGGTTGACCATGGTGTCAAAAGATATATTTCTCTCATTTCACGGCCAGAAGAAGGGTTCTATACTTACTATACTTTTTTATAAGAACACTGAGGCTGAAATTGCTTAAAAATTAAGAATAAAATGAGGCTGAGGTACATTATAATGTCAAATGATGTTTTTATTTAATAAAAAAAAAAAATTTAATTAAAAAAAAAAAAATCTTTCTGTAACTTAATGTACAGCAGGTATTAATATGTAACACTGTACCCTCTTTAATACAGTATAGTAATATACTGTTGTACAATAATAATTTTCACTTGCACTTGAAAAGTGTATAAAAAAATAAGAACAAAAAAAAAACATTTCGAGCCTGAAGTCAGTAAAAAATAAGAACAGTGCATCTGGGCAAAATTTTACTGGTTCTTCTTAGAAGAAAAAAAGTGCACTGTATACAAATTAAGCAGTTCAAAAATTGAACTGAATTTTCAGGTATTTTCAGGCCAAGTAAAAAAAAAAGTAGTTGGTCCTAATATTTTGAAAAAAGGAGTATTTGGGAACATTTTTTTCTTTTTCTTTTTAAATCTGAATTATGGAAAATCCAAGATGGCCGATGGGAAATGGCTACTACTTTCTCACTTTTACCAAGTAGATTCAGTGAAAGCAAATAAAAGTTCTACAGTAGACATGATTCATACAATATGTATATTGAGTTTTAATCCATAATTCAACTGAAATTCTCCTAGGAAATGCTTGAATATCTCCCCAACCATACAGTAAACGATCGAGGGAGGAATTTTACTGATGCGAGTTAGTAATATTTTCGTACATTTCGCAAAATAAAGGAAATTTAAAAAAAAATTTGTTGAGGCAGAGAAAATTGATGCATGAGGGAACAAGAAACTAGTAATTTTTTTATTTGGCCTTGGCTCATGAGACAGTGCATCTTTATGAGTTTTGTATATTGAGATGTTTAAAGTCCAATGTCTATATATATGATTTTAATTTCACTATTACTAACTTACAGTAATAATATTAAACTATAGAGATAAGAAACTGGAGGGACTACACCAGCCAAAATCCCATTGATGATTGCTTTTTTAATTGCTAATTACGCCTTTAGAACAAAGAGATCCGACACAATTTTGTGAGTAATAAACGACTGATTGATGTTTAATCATCCTGACCGTAGAGCATATGCTGAACAAGCTTGGATTTGGTTGACGAGAAATTTGGACAATGGAAATAAAAAGTACTATTACCATACAGTAGGCCGTACTGTACAGCCATAAACAGTTATTGTAGTACACATAGCCACCTTGTTCTGGGGAAAACTCAGTTAAATTTCATATCATTTCTTTTCTGTTCAGTTATTTAACCATAAATTTAACCAACATTTGCAATTAATAACAATGAAAACTATCAGTTACTGCATAGAGTATATACCTATACCTCCGCATATAAACAGTTAACTTCTTTAATACGATACCTTGTTTTAGTGAACTCATTTTTAAAGGTTGTCAGAGTGGGAAATAAAAATTAAAATGTAAACAGTGTAGTAATGCTAGATAAAATGCTTTAAAATGAAGGAAGGAATAAAATGTTTTTTTTTTTTTTCTAAAACTTTCCATTTTTTAGTGGAAAATTAAAATTTTAACAGTGTAGTTAATCAGATGGATAAATACTTTAAATTCATATAACTAAGGAAGAAATATATAATTTTTGAAGATTTCACAGATTATTAAAAATATAATTTTTTTTCTAAAATCTTCCATAATTTTGTGGCAGAAGTTATATTACTGTGACTGGCCAAAAATGAAATTTTTATTTGTATTTGAAACCACCATTATTGGCAGTCGGAGAGTTCACTAAACAAGGTAAAACAAAAGTCTTGCCTCTGTAGTGGTTCATATGTTGGAAAAAATGCTGAAATTTTACGTAATGTACCGTACTGTAAGATCGATCAACCGTCTTATTCTACAGTAAATGATCACTAAGAACGCTACAATAAAGTAGATTAAAAAAAAAAAACTTCCCAACACATTACTGTACTAAAAAAAAAAAAAAAAAAGAAACATTGGTAATTATGAAAGATGTTTATCCTTAGTTACTATGACGATTGCAACGTCGATCCATATTCTCACTATTTTTTAATAATAATAATAATAAATAGGTCATGCTTTGAACAGCATTGTATTCTAGATAAATAAGATTGATGAGTATGATATACTACAGGAAATTAAGAAAACAGTAAGACACCTATCACTAGCATTACTTAAATTACTGTATGTTGTTTTTCTAGCATTTTGTTGTGAATTTATTTTCCTCAACTGCATTTTTATCTTAATGCACTGCATCACTTGGCCTTTTTAAAATTTAACATCTTGATTTTATAGTTTGATTGTTTGATTTGATATGAAGAAAATAAACTGTTTATTTGAACATAAATTATGCATAATTGGTATTATTACATTTTAGCACTACAGTGTATTACATACAGTATCTTTCATGTACTATTATTACAGTATAACAACAAAAATAAATCAGGGAAGCTAAGAAAAACATAAACAGTTTGAACATAAAATACTGTATTTACAGTACTGACTGCTTAGGAACTGCAATCACCCACTCTCATTCAGAATGCTTTACACGTTAGTAATATTCTAATATTAAAAATTATATGATGTGAAAATGTCCATTGTTGGTGATACTGTATGTATAAAGAAATCTGATGAGATTTGAATTCCTCGCACAGATTTTTTTACGCGAGTACTGATAGTACAGTAGGCCTATTGTACCTTGCCTAAAAAGTGTAATCACCTCATTTAGAATTAGAAAGCTTTTGATTCTTTACACATCATTAATATTCTAATGTTAAAATTATATGATGTGAAAATGTCCATGTTGGTGACAGTGTACCATAAAGAAATCTGATAAACTCGAATTCCAGATTTTGTTGAAGTACAATACAAAGCTTATCAATACTATTATGATTTGCAATGTTGAACTCTATTAATTAAGGTTTTTATTCATATAAAAATGTACAGTATTTTGTTGGTGATATCAATGACCGTACTCCCTTATTTAAATACATCACTCTCAAGTGTAAGACACCCGCTGTCGTTTAATTTTATGCACCTTATTACCCAGTACTACACCGCGCACAGTTTTCATGTTT